CGAAGGGCCAAACCTAATGCGACGCATCATCGGCCACAGATCTGCGGAGGGCCCCCATAAACAAATCCATCTATCGACTTCCGCACATCGACCTCGAAGCCAAGATCCAGTACCTCACAGCACTGGCGCAGAGCAAGTTGACCTACGACTGCGCAATATGGGGGCCAATGACGGTACAACAGAAGCAGATGCTGCAGAGCCGACATATGGCGAGTCTACGAGCTGCGGCGCGACAACAGCGACAGGGAGCGGGACACCCGCACACCCTGGACGACGAGATCTACTTACTCTGCGATGAAGTCCCGATCCACATGTCCCTGCGACGACGCCGTCTGCTGCACTTCATCAGAATGCTGCACGCGGATACGCCATTCCTCCACCGACTCATCGACGAGCTTTGGGCGGACAGCAAGGCATGTAATGCGCTTATCACCGAGGACCTGGATTGGATCAAACGCTTCCTGCTGGACGACGAGGATATTGGCAGCGACATCAGGGATTTTGTACGATGGGCACGAGCACAACCCGAGCATTCCGCACAAGCCACGGTCAAGCGCGCCTGGCTTAGGTACAAGTCCTGGATGCACGACGTATACCGACGCCGTCTCTGGCAACGACAGCTACATCGGCTCGCACAAGACTTCGGACCCACCACGCCCAACTTTGACGGACACCCACCTACACAACACAGCGGCTACATCTGCTACGAGTGCGGCAAGGTCCTGAAGACGCGGGGAGCCTGGAAGCGACGCCGCACCATGGAGCACATCGGCGTTGACCTCCCTGAACGACTCGCCCGTTCGACAACGTGTCCAGGGTGCGGGAAGGACTTCATCACGCGCTCGCGCATACTTAAGCACCTGAGGAGATGCCCCAGGTGCCTCGCAGTCCTTCAAGCGATTGAAGTCCCAATGGACCTACAGGAGGCAGCCGATCGACGAGATGAAGAACGCGAAGCGGTGGCGACGAGAAAGGCAATGGGCCACGGAGCCACCAAGGCTCTAGTGCCTGTGCAGCAGATCATCCACATCAAGCTCGCCGACCACATCGACCGACACCAGCTCCAGCTCTCGCCAGCGCCGCCCGCAGCAGTGACTCTTCAATCGGAGCCGCCGTCAACGAGGACCTTTGCACCGTGCAGGCCCCTGGCCACCACGACCATGTTCTTGCTTCACCTCTTCTCAGGAAGACGCCGAGTGGAAGACTTCCAGCACCATTTCGAGATGCACATTCGGGAATGCAATTTGATAGTGTTATCAATCGATGTACATATCGACCCAGACAAAGGCGACCTGACCAAGCCGGACGCGATTGCCTTTTGGTGTGCCGCGATACCCCAAGGCAAAGTCTTTGGCATCGTAGCGGGCCCTCCGTGCGAGACGCGGTGCTCGTCGCGTTGGCGCGCCACTGAGGGCAACGCCCCATGCCCACTACGCACCCGCGACTTCCCCTGGGGCATGCAAGAGGCTAACCAAACAGAGCCCCAGCAGCTAGCACTGGCCAGCGAACTTTACAGGACAGCCTTACTACTCATCACCACGAGTTTGCAGTGCAACGTTTCCGCCATACTTGAACATCCAGCCCCAGCTACCTGGTGTCCTCAAGCGCCGAGTAGCTGGCATCGAGCGGAGAGTCAGTGGTTGTTGGAGCAGACGAACGTCTATCTACACTACGTCGACCAGTGCCAGTTCGGTCAGGCTGCGCAGAAGCCAACGTGTCTGCTGGCGGTACACCTCTGTGAACTCACGCAAGAGCTCGGAGCAGTACCTGGTGGTCAACTCTGCCGACATCGTGGACACGGCCGCGCTTGCGGACGCGACGGGCAGGGCGGCCGGAGGACTGCCCCCCTCAAAGAATATCCTCCGAGGCTGTGCAGGGCAATGGCAGCAGCCTTCGCAGCCCACTGGGGACAGCTTGCAGACGACGAAGCACTGCGGGCCGAGACAGGGGAGGACTACCACAGCTTTTACGCACCACTGGACCATTACATAGAGCCGGAACAACTGGGGCACGACTGTCACAAGGCTTGGGGCAGCCACCGCTGCTAGCACCAACTCACCCCCCCCCCACCCGACCATGCCCCACTCTGGCCTCCCGCCTCGCCCTGTGCCGTGCCGTCATGCCTTGCCGACCAGTGCGAGTCGAGTACCGCAAGTTCGACCACCGCAGATTCAAGCAAAACCACGTTGACCAGCACGACTGAGTCGAGCACCACAGGTCGAGCACCACAGATTCAGGCAGTACCACGTTGACCAGCGCAACTGAGTCGAGTACTACACGTTCGAGCACCACAGAGTCAAGCACTACCACGTGGACTAGCACGGCAGTGTCGAGTACCACGGGTTCGCGCACCACAGTGTCAAGCAGTAACGCGTTGACCAGCGCGATTGAGTCGTGCACTACAAGTGCGAGCACCACAGAGTCAAGCAGCACCCCTTGACCAGCACGACTGAGTCGAGTGCCACATGCTCGAGCACCACAGAGTCAAGCACTACCACTTTGACCAGCACGATCCATTTGTGTACCACAGGTTCGAGCGACGCAAAGTCAAGCACCAACACGTTGACCAGCACGATTGAGTCGTGTACCGCAGGTTCGAGCACCACAGAGTCGAGCAGTACCACGTTGGCCAGCATGACTGAGTCGCACCACAGGATCGAGCACCACAGAGTCAAGCAGTACCACGTTGATCAGCACGTCTGGGTCGAGTTTTGGGTGCCGCTTTGACCAGCATGACTGAGTCGAGTACCACAGGTTCGTGCACCACAGAGACAAACAGTACCACTTGACCAGCGCGACAGAGTCGAGTACCACAGGTTCGAGCACCGCAGAGTCAAGCATTATCACGTTGACCAGCACGACTGAGTCGAGCACCGCAGGCTCGTGCACCATAGAGTCAAGCAGTACTACGCTGACCAGCACGACTGAGTCGAGTACCACAGGTTCGTGCACCACAGAGTCAAGCACTACCACGTTGACCAGCACGACTGAGTCGATACTACAGGCTCGGGCGCCACAGAGTCAAGCACTACCACTTGGACCAGCACGACCATGTCGAGTACCACAGGTTCGAGCACGACCATGTCGAGTACCACAGGGCTGATCGCGGCGAGGAGCGTCCCCGACGACAAGCACAAAGGCGTTAGGACGCAAGTCCTGAGGAAGCCCCGAGTGCATGGGAACACCTCAGGCAGCGTCGCCAAGTTTTGCAGGAGGCGTTAGGACGCAAGTCCTGGGGAAGCCCCGAATGCGTGGGAACACCCCTGGCACAAGTCGCTACGTTTTGCCGTATGGACGCAGGCAGCCATCGTACGTGTACAGCTCAGCGGCTACCAGCAAGCCAGATGGCATACGACCTCTACGACCACCGCGCAGCACCGACCAACCACCACGCATATCCCATGAATGGCCCATCGCACCACTCTACAAGTCAACGCTGCCCTGGTGAGGCAAGGATCAAACTTCGAGACGGGCTCGAAGGGTGGGGGGGCAGGACGAGCACTGCCCGCGCCTACCAGGGGGGATGGTGAGGGGCAGGGGGGGGGGGGGGGTGGACGTCCACTACCTGTGCCCCCGCGGTCCGCCCTAGCTCGCCACCCCCACCATCCCCATGGCGGAGACGGAGCTTACCCGAGCGCTCAAGGGGCGAAGCGTAGGGCAGCCGAGACATCCCTCACCGACAACAGAAGCAAGCACTAGGCCTGGGGTTCGCCCCCACCGAGGGCACTGTGACCCCTAGCCATAGCGGGACGAGGTGGGGCCGCCACGAACCCCACTTGAAGTCGGCGCATGGAGGCCTCATAAGTGCGCCCACAACCCACAACACAACACCAGCAACAAGCCGACCTCCCAACGACCCGCCTACCAGCACGCACGACAAGCAACCACAAGGTCTGGGGTTCGCCCCCAACCGACCACCCACTCCACCACCATCACCCCGCCAACAACGACGACCAGCACGACTGCGTCGAGTACCACATGTGCGAGGGCCACCGAGTCAAGCACTACCACGTCAACTTGCACGACTGGGTCGAGTACCGCGTCAACCAGCACTATCACGTCAACCAGCACCACAGTGCCAAGCAGTACCACGTTGACCAGCATGATTGAGTCGAGCACCGCAGTTCGTGCACCATAGTCAAGCCGTACCACGTTGACCAGCACGACTGTGTCGAGCACCACGGGCTCGAGCACCGCAGGGTCAAGCAGTACCACTTTGACCAGCACGACTGGGTCGAGTACCACAGGTTCGTACACCACAGAGTCAAGCAGTATTACAGGTTCGTGAACCACAGAGTCAAGCAGAGTGAAGCAGGGGGCAGCCTGCCCCGCGGCGTGGGATACACAGCGCAGGGCGCCGAAGGGTGTATCCCCGCCGAAGGGCGCATCCCCACCCTCCACTGCGGCTGGGCTCAGCGCTCTGCGCCGAAGGGAGCCCAGCCGCACCCAAGAGGCCACCTGGCCCTGGCCCGCGAAGAGGCCGAAGGCCAGTCCGAGCTCCGTGCCGCACGCGCTGCTGCCGCACGCGGGCACGGGTGAGTCGAGTACCACAAGTTCGAGATCTTCGTCAAGCAGTACCACAGCGGCTGGGCTCAGCGCTCTGCGCCGAAGGGAGCCCAGCCGCAGCCGAGCGGCCAGCCTGGCCCTGGCCCACGAAGAGGCCGATGGCCAGGCCGTGCGCCGTGTCGCGGGTGCTGACTGACGCCCGCGGGCGCGGGCGCGCGCGGCGCCCGTCCAAGGGCCCTTTCGGGCCTCCTCTTTTTAAACCCGGCCCCTTCTCTCTCCTCCGAGGTACTAGCTGGTCCCATGGTCCTTCTCTCTCCCTCGGGGTCGGGTTCCCGGGGCCGTCGTCTGAGTGCCCGCACGGCCCTCGTGGGCTGCTGCGGCGCGCTCCGCGCTCCGGGCGCATGTGAGACGCTGCTCGGAGCGAGAAACGCAGAAACGCAGAGGGGGGGAGGAGGAGACCCCCCCCCCCACGCATCGCTGGGGGGCGCCCCAGCCTGTGCCCGCGCACGCTGCTCCTCGGGGGAGCGGGCCTGGCCGAGGCGCACGGCGGCGGCGGGCGTCGAGGACGACGAACGGCGGAGAGGGTCAGAACCAACGACGCCGACGAGGACGACCACGGCGGGGGGAGTCAGGAGGAGAGGGAGAATGGAGCATCCTCCCTTTTCCTCCGTCCCGTCCCTCCCTTTCTCCTCCCCCTTCCCCCTTCCCCCTCCTCCTCCTCCTCCTCCTCCTCCTCCTCCTCCTCCTCCTCTCCTCCTCCTCCTCCTCCTCTCCTCCTCCTCCTCCCCCCCCTCCGCCCGCCGCCCGCCGCCCGCGCCGCGCCGCCCGCGCCCGCGCCCGGGGGCTCTCCCCCGCCCCTCTTGGGCCTGGGGGGCCCTCACAGACCGGCCCGGGCCAGTCCAGCTCACAGGTCGGGGCACTGCGACGTTCCACATCGGTTCCCGTACAGTCGGAGCGTTGACCCAGGGAACCCTGAATAAGGAACGAGGCCCCTATTTTCCATAAGTTGAACTTCGATTTCCGATCGAAGACATAAGGAAAACCTGAGGCAAGCTGTGAAACACTTAAGGAACACGGAGCCCCTCCCCAACGAAAAGGGTTCCTTCTTCAGGGCCCCGACTGTACCCCTCCCGGGCTCGCTGTCCTGGCCTGTTCCCCGAGCAGCGTCCGGTCGTGGGCACGAGACGCTCCGAGGGCATTCGAAGACGCACGCAATACAGCAATCGATGATCGCCATGTGATGTTAGGAGACAGTTCCTGGGAGGTCTTCGTAAGAGAAGTCAGCAGGTGTTAATTAACCCGTTGAAAGGGGCCACTGAGACAGATTAGGCCAGACGTGGCCCAGTACTCATGTGACGTTAACAGCAATTCCTGGGAGGACTTCGTCAGAACGACCAACGGCTGTCAAACCCGAGCACGGGGGCCACTGAGACACACTAGGCGATCTTCGTAAGAACAATTGACAGCTGTAAAACTTGAGAAAAAAACGCTGAGACAGATTAGGCAAGATGTCGCTCAAAATGAAGCCTGAATAAGACGGATCAGGTCGGATTCTGCGGGATTGGGCCAGTGTTGGACCGCGGAGTTATCCCAGCGCCGATTTTGAAATGAGCCTCCCAAGAGGGGCATCCGGAGTGATGTCTGATAGCTTGTTTTGCAGGCTCGCGTTGTCAGGCGGCAACCTGGCCACCGACAGAAAGCTACACGGCGCCGACCCTGTCTCTCTTGCCAGCACGCGCGCGCAGGGACGAGGACGAGAGGGGCGACCGCCTACCCGTATTAGAAGGACGCGCGGTAAGGATGCAAGGGCCTTGGAATGCCGCGTCGACACTTTGCGGGCGGGGCGCGGCCAGCAAGAGCGGTCAAGGGTGGGCCGAAGGGGAAGGATGCAAGGGTGAACCTGGGAAACATACTCATCCTTCTTGTGGGCTGACTGTCGCAACATCTCGACAGGAATGCACTCGACCAGGATAGTAAGGATGCGCAGCAAGGATGCGAAGGCCTTGGAGCGCCATGCTGACGTGTTCTGTGCGGAGCGCAGCAGAATGCCGAAGGATGCCGAACACCGCAGGGGCAAGGATGCAAGGCTACTCCAGATTTCGTAATAAAGGGAGGGGGGTCTCATTTCGGGGGGGGTCTCTTCCAGGCCATCTTGGAGGGCCTGGGGTGTCGATATCACTCTTGTTCTACCGAATTTGTGTAGTGTTTATTCTTATCAGTGTGTATGCAGATTAACACAGATGTGAGGTATTGCTTGCAGCGTTGCAATACGATTGCCATGTACCATCGCCGTTTGATGTTCAGGGGCCCCTGAGTCAGGTAAAAGGTTGCGTTACGTTTCATACGGCCGATAATCAAGATTATCAATTCTTTTCGAACATTCCCGAGTAGACTTCGTGTGCTACCATCGGTTGATATTGGTAGCGGAGCCGGAGATCCACACTCCGGCTCCCCACCGCCGCCGCCATGCCAGCGGACCCGCGCCCGCGGGGTCCGCCGAGGCCGCAGGCCACTCCGGCGTCACCGCCGCCCGCGAGGGCGCCCGACGCCGCGGCAGCAACGGCCGCCGCTGCAGGAGCTGCCGCCGGCAGCGCACCGACAGCGGAGACGTCCAGAGTCCCGCCCTCTCCCGACAGCACCGTGGAGGGCCACTACGCCGACGGCGGGGACTGGAACGACTGGTGGCAGAGGGCGAGTTCCGCCTGGGACGGTGGGGGCAGAGGCCTCGACGCAGGCCTGTCAAAGACGGCGCCGACATACGAGCTGCTCAAGACCGACGGCTACAGAGTTTTTCGCCGCAAGCTGGAGGTCTTCGAGCGCTGCTGCAGGAAACGCGGCACCACCGCGGTCAGCGAGGGCGCATTCTTGATCATGAACTCGCTGCAGGGTGAAACCGCGGAGGCTACGGAAGACATCGACCTGGATCAGCTGGAGACCGAGGACGCCTTCAAGCCGCTGTTCCAGGTGCTCGACGAGTATTACAAATACGATAACCAGACCGAGCTGCCAGCCCGCACAGATCAGTTTTTCGGCAAGTTCGCTCGCCAGGATAAGGAGATGATGGAGCTCTACTGCTTGCGCCACCAGCGAGAACTGAGGAAGCTCAAGGAGGTCGGCATGGAGATTCCCGACATGCTGGCGGGCTGGCACCTCCTCTCACGAGCGGCCGTCCCACCTTCGGGCGCCGCCCAGATACGAAGTCAATGTGCCAATGGTCTCAGTTGGACTAGTGTGAAGAAGGCCCTACTCGATACATATGGAGCCGAAGCCGTACCCGACAAGCGCGACGTGAAGCGAGTTGAGAAGATGCTGGTCGGGCAGGGTTATAAGGACGACGTGCACTACACGAACGACTACGAGTGGGAGCGAGGCCTGAGCTACGAAAACTCATACCTGGAGGAGGAAGAATACGATTACGACGAGTACGAGGAGTACGACGCTGAAGAGTACGAGGAAGAGGCCGACGTCGCCGAGGAGCTGCCGCAGGACGTGGAAGAAGCCCAGATCGCGTGCGACGAGGCCTACCTCAGTTTCGTGGATGCGAAGAGGCGCGTGGCGGAGATCGCCAAGTCGAGAGGTTTCTGCCCGATCGTCGCTGTCGCGCCCGACAACAACTTTCAGCGCGGCAAGGGCGCGTCGCGCTCTGCCAAGCAGACGGGCGGCAAGGGCAAGGGCCGCAACAAAGGCAAGGGCAAAGGCAAGGGCACCGGCTCGCGCCAAGTGTTCAGGCCGAAAGTGAACATCTTCAACAAGCCCCCGTCGGCGACGCCGGCAGGATCGACCGCTACTGGTTCGACGCAGCAGCACGGCCCGAGGTTCAAGCGATTCCGTGGAGGAGGTTTCGTGAAGCCCGACTCGGAGCACGCCGCCATGGTAGAAGACGTGGAGACGCTGGAGTACGCTAACTCGACCGAGGAGGTGTACCTGATGTCGACTGGCAAGGGCATCAGCGACGGCGGCGCGACGCGACCCGTCATGGGCGACAAGATCTGGGCGCAGTGGGAGGAGCTGCTGCGTTCACGCCAGCTGCTGCACGAGGTCGAGTACGGCAAGATCGACCGACGATTTCGATTCGGAGACGGCAAGACGCTGGAGGCCAGGCGGTCCGTGACCTTGAACGTGTGGCCGTTCGGCGTCAAGAAGATCACGATCCATCTCGTCGAGGGGTGGGCGCCGCTGCTCATCGCCCGTCCGTGCATGGAGGAGTGGAGTTTGGTCCAGGACTATCGCGCCGGCACGTTTATGATGAAGGACCTCCCCGACAAAGGCTGGATGAAGTCCGAGCGAGACGAGAAGGGGCACTTCATCATCGACCTGCTGGGTGGCGCCGGCAGGGCCACTGACGATGCGATGAACGAGGGTGCGCCGACCGAGGGCGAGCCCAGCAGCGACGACTCGACCGACAACGAGTCCGAGGCACCGCCGAGCGAGTCCGAGGGCGATTCTGAATCGTCCGACGTGGGCCCCGATGCGTACTACCTCGAGACGGTCACCGAGTTTTACGACATCAGTGACAAAGACGACGTGGGAAGTGAGTGGACCCAGGAGTTTTCGGTTGCGGGTTCGAGCGAGAGCGCTAGACCGAGCACGATGGACCCCGACACCTACACCGACCTGGCCTTGGCCCTCGAGCAGGCACACGACGGCATGAAGGAGATGCTCCGAGGACCCCCGCCGCGTAAGGTCTGGGAGGTATTCGTGGACGCAGGAGGTCTGTCGCAGGCGCTGCTCGAGTACCCCATGGTGGACGTCATGCAGTTCCGCCTCGAGGACGGCTGGGACTTCTCCAAGCCGAAGGTGATTGAGGCGTTCCTGAGGAAGATCGACGTCGAGAGACCCGGCGACATTTACTTCGCACCCCCGTGCAAGGTATGGTGCTCGTGGCAGTACGTGAACGCCTCGCTCTCTGCAGAGCACGCCGCGGAGATCCACGAGGCGAGGGTGCGCGAGGAGAAGACGTTTCTGAAGTTGGTCCGTGACTGTTTCGTGAAGCAGCTGAATGGAGGCCGACACGTCTATGTGGAAGGCCCATGGTCAGGAGCGCACTGGAGCACCAAGACGTGGAAGGCACTGCCGGGCCACCACTGCCGGCTGGACCAGTGCCGCCTGGGAGCCAAGTTCCCCATCAAGGGAGTGGACATGCCGTGCCAGAAGCCGACGCGATTGCAGTCCACCAACAAGGAATTCGTCGATCACATGGGTCTGAGGTGCGAGTGCCGGGGCGAGCACGTGACACTACGCGGCAAGCTCGCCCAGCAGGCTCAGAACTACCCCGCACCGATGGCTCGACGGATGGCTTACCTGATTGCCTACCAGGGCATGGCCGCCGACATCGACGAGATTTACACAGCCGAGGAGGTGCACAGGGACATCGACGCCATCGAGTACACAGACGTAATGCAAGAGTTGATGAAACGCTTCAACGTCTCGACCATCCGTGCGGTCAAGCGCGCGCACGTCAGCCTGGGACACCCCTCGAACGCGGCGCTGGCCAATGCCATGCGACGCGCAGGTGCCCCAGCAGAGTGGA